CCCTGTAGCATTACAACGGATGGCTTGATCGAGAAAAAAAATGTAATTATGTGCATGCAGAACGAAATAGTAGGAAAGAACGAGAGAAGCTGTAGAATTATATGACTGGAAGAGAAAGTGGGAGTTTTTTTTTCTGTGAGCCACTTGCTCATTCAATTCAATAACGCTTCGGCGCTGGCTTCATGTTAATACATCGATAAGGGTGTGAGTGTGGGTGTGGGTGCGTGTGAAAACGATACACCCACACCCACATCCCACACCCACACCCACACACCCACACCCACACTCACACCCCACACCCACACCCTAACCATGGTAATGCCCAGCCCTAACCCACACCCACACACACCCTCACATCCACACCCACACCCACCTACACCTACACCCACCCACACCCACACCCGACAAACTCACACAGATGCATTTAAAAAAAACTCATTACAACCATTATTACCACAAATCCATCTGCAATAGATGACTATCTTCAACACAGAATGTATTTATTGTATATCTATGAGTATTATAATAATCAGCTATTTTTAAAAGAAAACGAGCAATTGAAAGCAAAGGAAGAAAAAGTTAAAGAATTTAAAACTTGTTTGAAAATGTTAAATGTTCCTTGCTCGATTTTATTCTTTATTATTAACTGAACTAATGTAATCAAAAGTTTTTACTGTACTCTACATTTCTAGTCTTTTTACAATTTACGGGTATCAACATAATCAATTTGTACTTATTTTTCTACTACTGCGGCATAACTTGTTATCTATGTTGTTAATTTTCAAATAGTAATATATGTGTGGTTTTTATTTTTGTTGTCACAGAGACGATGCTCATCTATGACTAAGAAGGTGAGAATTTGCCACACACCTGACTATTTTAATAAAGCAACATATTATTATTAGTGATCCTACTGATGAAAATCGAAGACACATGTCATTCATTATTGTGCATATGTGCAGTAAATAGGAATCTAAAAATCTCTTGTTTTGTTTCCGATTTCGTTTCGAAAATAACGAACGACTCGGCCAATAGTTAATCCTCATGATACTTTGAGTGCGTATAAAAATTACATGAGTAATTGAACTCGAATTTCACATTTGATATATGCTACATACTAACTCTGATATACTACTGAAGAGATGTATAGAAAAGACATAAGGAGCAGAGCATATAAGAAACTGTCATAGCTAATACACGATTTTATTTAAGATTTAGTCGTACGTTGAATTTCTCTCGAAAACAGCTTGTTATGTGGGTGTAAGTGCGGATGTGAGTGTGAGTGTTATTCTTTCACACACCCACACCCTACGTCCACACCCACCACACACCTATATCAGTAAAAAGCTTTCATATTATTGAATCTATCGCATAAAATTCTTCAGTACATAGATGAAGTTTCCGTTTCTACACATGATCTACTAAATTGCTTAAAAATCTATATTTAATAGAGAAATATTGTAAATATTAGGTGCGTTCAGATGCGCTAAGCGATCACTACACTCACACCCTATCCAGTAAAGAAAAAAAGTTTATCAACATTGAAATTCAAGCGAAAAATTCATTCGCCTTACAAAAAAAATTACTCATCATGCTCGTGCGGATTGTCACAATCACACAAGTCGATACATTCAGCCATGAGCGCGTCCAAGCACGCTTTATTTATGATGTTTTCCACTGGTATGTTGGTGCCATCGAGAGCATCTGTCACAACATTGCCCATTGGAATTGATTTTCCAATTTTCATACAATTATCACAACGAGGAATTGCTTGAAAGTTTGTTCCATCGTATTGAATTGTAATCGTCATTTTTGGAACAGCATGATTTCCATTGGCTCTATGAAACTGATGTAGTGCATGATGTTCAGCACATTGTGGTTGACCTGCTGCTGCACCACGAATTTTAGGTACACGTCCAGGATATTGTTCGTTCAATATCTGTTCCGTAGTTGAAGGGCCACCTTCAAACGCATCGATATTCAATGCTTGTCGAAGACGAAATGAATATCCAGTGTGTACATTGCCTTCGACATCGATGATCATTGTACCAGTCGTTTTTGTCACTTTCTGAGGGCCAGCGTCCGTCACTGCTTTCTTCAGTTCTCGTGCTGCCTGTTGAATCTGCCTTGCTAAATCACCTGCTGTTTGTCCATCTTTCAGTTCTAATTTGCCATCTTCAATTGCTTGTCGAATGGTTTTTTTCAATTGATTGTATTCAGCTCTGTTTGCGGTTAAATTTCTATAGGCTCTGCCATAACCATACCCGGTGAGTCCATCGAAGACAGGTGTAAGAGCCCAATCGAAGGCTTCACCAGCTGTTATTTTGCCATCGATCGCCCTGTCAAGTGAGTTAATATGTCCATACAAGCGCTTCTCACCATGAATTGCTGAATCAGCACCTGAAATAATTCCATCCATTACTGCTCCTCCACCTATACCTCCTGCAACAGCACCGATAGGACCACCAACTACAAACCCACCAATGCCACCAGCAGCAACTCCAACAGTGCGTGATGCTGCTTTCATGGCGTTGTCTCCCCCTTCTCTGTCATTGCAAGCATAATGAATAGCACCTTTGATATGGCCAACAACTGGAACTGAATCAATAACGTTCGATGCGTTTTTTACAAAATATATTTGAGTCTCTTTCGCATATTCAGTGTCACCAGCAATAAGTGCTCCCAAAGCTACTCCCTGGGATATAACAGGGCATCCTTTCACAAAGTTAAGTTGTGTCTGTCGTGCTCCTTCGGTATCTCCAGCTATCGCTTGTACAGCACTTTTTGCTTGTGATATGACTGGTAAACTATCTGTGTTTCCCATCGTTGACGAAATAAATGCAAACTTCTAAAATGGTGATAGCAAATTTATAGTTGCAAAAGATCGATAGTTGAAAAAAAGATTCAACCGCCTTCTAGTTCACATACATTTATAATATGTTTATATGCATGTAGTGAGATTATATGATACCCAAAGAAGGATTAAAAAAATAGCAAGCTAATATGTATAGAAATGATATTACACTGGGAGAAAAATTAGAAAAAAGACAGATGATCTCAATGATATGGGTCACTTCATTATGAAAACAAATTTCCATAAACTATGATGACAATTGGAAGAGAAGTGAAAGAAACTTAGCTGTAAATCGAGTCTATTAGATGGAGACAGATAAAAACCGATGTGCATCAAAGACTTGGAATAAAACAAAATATTCTTCGGCTATTATATATATAGATGGTGACAAAACAAAATTCTTACACAAGAAAAAGAAAAATTATTTATTCCTATCGTCAGGAGAAAGAAAAATTATTTATTCCTATCGTCAGGAGAAAAAAACACTTATCTTTATATTTCTTTCACATCTAATGTAAG